CCAGGAGCTGCAGTTCAGGAACTTGGCACCAGAGGGCTCAATAACATGCAAAACGCCTGCACATGACAAGTCTCTGGGTATAACAGAATTCCTCAGTTCCCATGTGGTGAATTTGGGTGGTTTCAGGAGTGTAGTCATAGTGTAAATCTTTCCATACTAAATGTCAGTAGGAAACAATATCTTCTTTTTCGATTAGTTCTTACTTCTGTGCTTACACACTAAGAGACATCACCCAACTCCAGTTGATACTGATCCTGAACTTCTCCCTGTCGTGTCTGAATATAGGGGGAAGTCAAGACCCTGTATATCAGACACTCTCTGGACAGTGTTTGTCCCTGCTTCAAACCCCACGTGTCTCTCACCAGTCCCCTGGGACTTACAGCACCTTTGTTCCAATCTGAGCTTTCTCCACGACAGGCTGTAGCTGCACGATTCAGCCCATTGACACCAACTCCCACCTGCCATACTTGGGAATCAAGCTATACGCAGACACAGAAGGATGTTTCTTAATTGCCAAAAAAGCAAAACCAAATGCAGGCAGAGTTTAATAAAACATAAAATACACATCTCTGCTGTATATGAAGCCCAACTTCCCTCATCTGCAGTCCAATTTCCATATCAGAGATGGCCCTATACCAAAGAAAATCACATTTTCTGTCAAGCAGAGATCCCAAGAACCCCCAGAGCACTCCCTGACCCAGACTGTCCATTTTTACTCCCAGCTACTCACACCCTCAAGTCATGAGCTCCCTCGATTCACAGAGGGAAGAAAAGAATCAAAAGAAATTAATCACCCTCTTTTGCACAGCCAAATCTGCACTCAGCCCAGTGTATCTGGGTTACAGGTGCATCTTCAGGTAGGCTCTGCAACACCTAGATCCACTCATTTCTCTTTCTTGTCCAACACGCGACAGCTTGAGTGCAATTGTCCAGGCTTCCTCTTCTACTCAAGAGAGAGAAATTTTTTCTCTCAACTGCCTGTCCACCAGCTCCCCGTCCACAAAGTCTCCCATCAGCCCACGGTCACACTTCCCTCTCTCATGTCAGGGTTTCATCTACCCTCCTGTATCTTGGAGGTGGTGGCCACGAATTTGTGATCAACTGCATCAACTCTGGAGTGAAGATATTAGGCAAAAGTTTAAACATTTGCAGAAAAGTCCTTGGTGCAGTCAGTGTGTAAGAGGAGTTCATTTTCAGAACTTTGACATTTTTCTGTACATTCCCATAAATATTTTCATAGGCCATGGACAAGTACCAGCAAGCTGATGACACTTTCTTTCTCCTATGTATAGACAGATTGATAAATCTGGTTCTTTTGGACAGGTGACATTTGAGTCTGCTCAAGTAGCCCCTGATTTGATTCCTCTCCACCTTCATCTGTTTTCCTCCAGATGCCTGCCTTGAGGCACAATGGCTTAGGAGAACTTGGTGAAAGATGAGGCAAAGAGGACATGAAATATCTCAGCTCTCTTGCCATCTACGTGTGATAGAAATAGGACTGGGAAGTACAGTCCTGGGTAGATTCAGGTTTATTTTACTGCTGTTTTCTCTGCTAGGGAGGGACATCATTGGATGTGGAGGTGATCTCCATGAACAACTAGGTTCTGCTGACAGGCCTGGTGTGAAAATTTTTGGTCATTTCCTTGACTGCATCTTCAAGGGGTTGGGTAATATTTGTTGGAGATAAAAACCAACAGTCTGAGAAGGTAAAAACGTGTGGAGACTGCGGTGTGATGTGCCTTGTGTTCCTGGACTGCTCTCCATCTCCTGGATAGAGAAGGGACAGACCTTGCCATGCTGCAGTGGTGGCAGTCAGTGGCTTGCACAGCAGCCCCAAATCTGTCTGCAGTGCTGTGCGGGGGGTCTGTCACAGCCCCGATCTGGAGGGAGATTGCTTGTATGTATAGTACCAGTGCTGTCCCAGCCAACCCCATGGAGCTGTGTGCGAGAGCCTTGGCACCTCACGTAACACTGGAAGCCCCTGTTTGTCATTAAACAGCATAAATGTCCTAAGATTGGTGAAGCAATGTGGAGATGTCATGAGACCACTGTTGTGGGGATGAAGTAAATTCAGCTGATGGAAAAGACAGAGGGAAACTGAGCTCTCCCAAATGTACATGACTCCATTTGCTCAGAGGAATCCTTGCACAGGCTGCCCGCAACATAACAGACAGTGGCAAAGTCACTTGTACTAAATGTGGACATCTGCTGTCATTGCTGTTGGCCAAAGATGTTCCCCTTCAGACTCCAAGAAGATGCCCCCAGATGCTGTCCTCTCTCAGCATTGCTCCATTAGAGCTTGCAGTCTTCTGCACATTCCTTGGAACACCTCCTGACCCTAGAAATCTCTAACTGTGTCTGAACAGCTCACTCCTGATCTCCATCTCTGTCATGACCTGAGATGACAAAAGGAGTTCAGCTACAGGTGCCTCCCAATAAGAGCCTGGGTGTCCTATGTAATGACAGAACAGTAAAGACTGATTATAGGAACCAAATCGGAATTTGGTAGGAGAAATGACAGTGCTGGAAAGTAGTGCCTCTGCCAGCTGAGGGAGAGATGATGAGTGATTGCATCAGGCTGTGTCAGAGCAGGTTCCCCTGGAGCCCCAGGGACAGCTGGAGGGAGCCCAGAGGGGCCACAACAAGTGGCACCTTGGGCTGTTGCTGTGGTGCTGAGCTGGGCCAGGCTCCTGGGCCGGAGGGAGCTCCTGGCAAGTGGGCAGCGCTGCAGAGAGACAGCTCTGCCCAGGAGCAGCTCCTCTGCAAAGCGCAGCAGGGCTGGGGGCACTGCCTGCAGGCACCCAGGGCAGAGCAGCGAGGCACACACAGCTTCAAGGCAGCCTGGTCTGGGAGGCTGCTGAGAGCTCCGAGGAGGAGAAAGCATCAGGGCCCTGGCCACAGTAAGTCTGGGGGTGCAGGGCAATGCAGCTGCATCTCGGGGAGGGATCTGGGGAAGGCGGCAGATCCGCCAGGAATCTGCCTCCTGCCTAGAGGAGGAGGAGGAGGAGGAGGAGGAGCTGCTCCCTAGCAGGGCTTCCCTGGTGCCCCCTGCGAGGGCCAGGGCATGAGGGCTGCCTTCTGGCGGGGCCGGCTGCAGGGGTGTGCAGCCAGGTGTGCAGGCAGGGGTGCCCAGGGCTGTCCTTCCCAGCAGGGTCCCTGCACCCCAGGGGGCTGTGTGCTGGGGCAGGGACTCTGCCGCCTGCCAGGGTCAGCACTCAGCCTGCCCGGGGAGCTCCCCACAGCACTGTGGGGAGAAGCTGTGGGGGGAAGGAGAGACCCCCACCAGGGCAGGCTCCTTCTGCTCTCCAGAGGCTGCTGCGTGGATCAGGGATGCTCATAGCTCCAGATCACCTCTATGACACTGCTAGAGGCAGCTTTTCAAGAAGCACATCAAGGCAGGGGCTACCTGGAAGAAATTTGTTTTCCGGGATCTCCACTTTCTTTTTCTTGCTCTGTTTGTGGGCTTGGAGATAGCAACAGAACTAACAGGTTTGCAAAGAGTCCCAAACTCCCAGAGCATTACAGTGAGATGTCATTAGTTCTGTTAGGAAACTCTGATTAAGTCCTTTCATCTGTTACTTTTCCTACTGAAAACTCTGTCACTGCTGTGTTTTCCTTGGGGTTTATCATATCTGCTCCTGATCTGCTGCACACACAGAGCTGCCCCTGGGATGTGTCCTGCTGCCAGGAATGTTCCACAAGGCAGAGCTGAGCACAGGGCGGATGGGATGGGGGCTGGCAGCACTGACAGGGAGGAGATAAGGGGACACAGAATCATCTCCAGGCAGGGACAGCTCCAGGCACCAAAGGCTTTGGCAGAGAGGGACAGAAACAGGCTGACAGCAATGGCTCAGGGGTGGTATTTGGGCGCTGCCCTATTAGCCCTTCAGTGAAGGAGATTTTCCCTAAGAAGCCCCCCTGGTCTCCTCCCCCAGCCAGCACAGCCTCTGCTCTCCAGGCCCTGGGCTCCAGGGCAGGAGCTGCCTCCTCTGCAGCCAGAGCTGCAGCAGAGGAGACTCCCCTGAGTGTCCGTCTGTCCCTCCCTGGCCTTGCCTCCCTTGGCAGAAGCATTGGGGCATTTCTCCTTGTTTCTCCACCTGCCCCTGCTGCTGCTGCTCTGGTTTGCAGGCTCTCTGGGGATGGGGCTTTCAGCTGCAGCTCAGCCACTGGCCCTGCAGGTCCTGCCATGCAGATGTGTCCATGGGAGCAAGGTGCCCCAGCCCCTTCCAGTCTGGGGCTCTCTGGGAAAGGCTCTCCATGGGCTGGGGAGAAAGCTGACTCAGATAACATGATGACATGATAAATGATAACATATAACACATCTTCAAGGAATCTAAAAGCTTGTACATCTTTCCTGTGATAGGCGGTTTTAATCTGGATTCATCTACACTCAGTGGCATCCAGTTTCCTTTCAAGGACAGAGCTGGGGGTGACCCTCCTCCAGATTCGAGAGGTACACGCCCAGGGCACCTGAGAGCAAGTCTGATGGACAGAGTGGCTCTCCTCACTCTGCACTGAGGTTCTGTCTGTTTGCATCCCCAAGATCTCCATGGAGCTCTTGAGTGTAGCAGAAATATCAAGGCTGTTTTCCTTCAAACCTCACTGCTCAGGTAGGACAGGGCAAGAGGGGCAAAAGCAAGAAAAGCAGAGCCCCACAGCTCTGCTCTGCAGCTGGGTGCCCTGGGAGGGACAGTGCTGAAATCTCTGTGATTTCATGAGGGGATTTAAGGAGCGATCACTGGGGGTTCCTCTCTGCCTGTTGGGGCACAACAGGACTGACTCCTGCAGAGCCCACAGCAGAATCCCTTGGTCCCCACTGCACCCTCAGCCAGCAAACAGCAGAGAACTAGCCAGGGAGTGGCAGGAAGGTACTTCTGGAATGATAGAGGCTGAGGGCTGGGGATTCTGCTGGAAATGGAGCAAGGTTTGCTCAGAGAAGTCAGTCCTAACCTCCTCTGCCTTCTTCTGTTTGTATGTCTCTCCATGCCCAGAGGAAGCAAATGTCCAACAGCAGCTCAGTAACTGAATTTCTCCTCTTGGCATTTGCAGACAGATGGGAGCTGCATCTCTTGCACTTCTGGCTCTTCCTGGGCATCTACCTGGCTGCCCTCCTGGGCAGTGGCCTCATCATCACAGCCATCGCCTGCGACCACCACCTCCACACCCCCATGTACTTCTTCTGCTTCAACCTCTCCCTGCTCGACCTGGGCTCCATCTCCACCACTGTTCCCAAAGCCATGGACAATTCCCTCTGGGACAGCAGGGACATCTCCTACTTGGGATGTGCTGCACAGGTCTATTTCTTCGTTTTCTGTGCTGCAACAGAGTTGTATCTTCTCACCATCATGTCTTACGACCGCTACGTTGCCATCTGCAAACCCCTGCACTACGGGACTCTCCTGGGAAGCAGAGCTTGAGTCCACATGGCAGCAGCTGCCTGGGGCACTGGGTTGCTCAATTCTCTCCTGCACACAGCCAACACATTTTCCCTACCACTCTGTGGAGGCAGTGCTGTGGAGCAGTTCTTCTGTGAAATCCCCCAGATCCTCAAGCTCTCCTGCTCAGTTTCCTATATCCGGGAAGCTGGGATTCTTGTTGTTTCTGTCTGTTTTTCATTTGTTTGCTTTGTTTTCATCATGTTGTCCTATCTGCAGATCTTCAGGGTCGTGCTGAGGATCCCCTCTGAGCAGGGACGGCACAAAGCCTTTTCCACGTGCCTCCCTCACCTGGTTGTGCTCTCCCTGTTTATCAGCACTGGCATCTTTGCCCACTTGAAGCCCCGCTCCATTTCCTCCCCATCCCTGGACCTGGTGGTGTCATTTCTGTACTCGGTGGTGCCTCCAGCAGTGAACCCCCTCATCTACAGCATGAGGAACAAGTAGATCAAAGAGGCACTGTGGAAAGTGATGACTGGATGATTTTCAAAATCAGAAACTGCTTGTCATCTCCCTCAAATCACTCATAATGTAGCTCATTATGGTCTAATTCCATCTGTCTTTTAGTTTCTGTTGTTTTAGGTTGTTGATTTGAGGTGTGTATTTTTGTTTTACTTTGCGTAATGTTGCCCAAAAAAGAATGTCATTCTTTCTGGCATTTATAATTACATATCTATCCAAATACTTTGTTACATAGAGTCTGTGTAAATAAGCAGCCATGCTGTCTGTGTGTTTAAACAAAACAAAGAGCTCTATAGTGACTTTCCTGTGTTCTTTCCTTTGAGAACTTCTCTGGAGCTACTGGGATGATGTGTGTGTGCAGTGGAGGGGAAAAGTGTCCCGGCACAGCAGCAGTGTCAGGGAGCACCAGCACTTGTTGTTTCCCAAACTTCTCACTCTCCATTTCCTCTCTCTTCTTCTCAGCCCTTGCACTGGTGAAATGCCTGAGTGCTCTGGCAGCTTGGTCCCAGTCCTGCTGGGTGGGAGCTCTGTGACCTCAGGCAGGGACAGGCAGTGGGCACTTCTGGGACAGAGCTGGCCTCCACAACAGCATTTCCATGAAGAAAGGTGATCTTCTCAGGGCACTGCCTGAAGGCGCAGGTCTTGTTCCAAAGCTGCTCTCAAGAACACGGCCAGGAAAGTGGCCTGCAGATGAAAACACCGTTGGAGTGCTGAGCAGTGTGAGTGTGCAGGGTGTGGGCACACAGCAGTGTCCTCGCACAGCCAGGCCTCCTGCCAGAGACCTGAAGGCCCAGCAGAGCACGGGCTGTGCCACGATTGAGAGATGGGTCGCAGCTTGATGCAAGCAAAGTGTCCGATTTATTGTGATTCTTCACTGTAAGGGACTGTGTTGAACTTTGTTTGTCTCAACATTTCTGCTGCACCGCTACCACTTTCAGGCCTCAGCGTCCTGTTGCCGTGACGAATAGTCCCTGATGAAACCACAATGTCCGCCTAAAGCTAAAACAACACCAAGCTGCACCTGCGCGCGAGCCGCGTGGAGGAGCTGAGGAAGATGTGCACCCTCACCCGCAAGACCACCGTGAACACCTGGGCATGTGCGCATGGAAGACCACGGGGCCACAATGAGCTCCGTGGAAATGGGAAGACTTTTCGTGGGGACTGAGATAAAAGGGACTGCGTTAAAGCAGAGCTGGGTGCCTCCGGGGTGAGCAGAGACTTCAGCGGAGCCTGGAACACCATCACCGGCACCGAGACTGAGCCAACTGGAGTCATGGTGGTGGTACTTGATGTATCTCTACCGCTTTCTAGCTTAGGGATTCTGACTTTCTCTTCCTTTTTCTCCCTGTCCTATAGCTACTATCAGTTGCTTGTTCAATAAAGTTCACAAGGTTGTATGGCATCTGACCTCGTTTGTGTCTTAATCTCGCTCTTGGGACTTGGGATCATTTAAGAACCCTCCGTGATATCAGATCGGGACATCTTTAAATTGGCTTCAAGGACAGGATCCCTAGAGACGAGAGTGCTGTACTACCTTGCTGTGTTGGATGCAAACCTCTCAGGATGAAATAACCCCCTTTGTGTTACATTAAGTTGTGATCTCCTTAGAGTGAACAGGGGGAACTGTGGGCAGTGATATTGCATCTGTGTTTGGGTAAGGTGTGACCTCCTGAGAGCGAATAGGGGAAACTTGGATACTAAGGTATGACCCTCTCAGGACGAATTCCCCTTTGCATTAGGAAAAGGAAAAAGAATGGCCGCCTCGAAGGCAGCCGATGCTTGTGATGATGTGCCCTCAGGGGCTGAAGGAATAGATAAATTATACGATCTATTGGAGGCACACTGATCTCGCCCCTCAATCCAGGGACAAGATTGGGTGAAAAACCACTGGTTTCAACCACAGAGTGTGGTGGATAGGATAAGGGTATTGCAGAAGGAAGCTAAGGGTAAGAGAGGAAAAGGAAAAGCCATAATTTGTGCAGTGTTAGGAACAAGTCTGGCAGCTGCGGTGGAGGAGAGAGAGAAGAAGTCTCATCAAGTCGATACAGTAATAGACTCCCTGAAGACTGCCATACAGACCCTTCAGGAACAACTGAGAGAAACCAAAGAATTGTTAGAGGAGGAAAGGAACCAAAACGTGATATTGAAGGATGAATTGAGAGAGAAATTATTGACAGAGACAGATACATTGGCAGAGGCAAGAGTTAAACTTCTGGAGAAGGGTATAAGGCAAATTTATCCCCAAGGAGAGATGCAGAAATCAAAAGAAACCATAGAAAGGTTCCCTCATATGTACCCGTTGGTTAAAACAGAGTATGTGTACGAGGACGATAGCGATAGCCGTCCTCAGGTTACCACCAAAGAAGTCCCATTTACAGCAACTGAATTGGCAAAGTTGAAAAAAGATTTTGCAAGGACTGCAAAAGAAACAGAGACAGAGTATGTGTGGAGAGTGTCTTTGTCAGGAGGGGATGGAATCATGTTGTCAGAGAAAGAAACAGAAGGATATTGGGGTTCGGGTGTGTTTCTAACTACCGGCGACTGCCGAGCCCCATGGTCACTGACTCAGAGAACTGCATATTGCGCCGGACAGCTGAACCCCTTGAAGAGGGGAGATCCCCTTGCCATAACAGGTACAGTGGATCAGTTAGTAGAAAGTGTGCAGAAGGCAGCTTGTCTGCAGATGATGTATGATCGGGAACTCAAGCCCAACCAGGGTTCCCTGATGATGATGCCTGTGGACCCAGAGAGGATGACTCCCCTGATACGAGGACTCCCTGACTCTCTGAAACCCTTTGGCATTCAATTGCAAGGGAAGATTCAAAACACCCCCAATGCAGAAAGAATGACCTCTGCTCTGGAGGGGATTGTGACCCCTGACCATCAAAGGCCGGGGAGGAAAGTATGGACATGGAGAGAGGTAGCCCAGGAATTGATTAATTTTGGGAGAAAATATGGCCCCGTTGGTGGATCATCCCAAAGAACTGAAGCCAGGGTCGTATGGGCTGCAGAGCAAATTAGTAGGCAACAATCATTCATGGGAAAGAGCCAAGGCTCAGTGTCACCCCGAACCCCGGGAGAGAGAGACCCCTAACTCTACATGGACTGTGGCAACTAGGGCTTCAGAAAGGCATTCCTCGAGACTTGATGGATGGACTCTCGACTCAAAAATTAGAACAACTTGTGCAGAAATGGTCTGGACAAAGGTTCACTTTCAAACCAACCCCTAGTGCTCCACTCTTGATAGACCTTGGAGAGGAACCAACTGGGGAAAAGAAGGTGGCGGGAAACTAGACCCTCCGCCTCCCGAAGGTGAGGGTGAAGGCAGAGGATGGATGTTCGTAAGACAACTCACCTGCAACATGAAAGGGGACTTACTGATTCCTGTGGCTGTAGAGCCAAGGAAAAGGCTAGTAACATTTCTAATTGATACTGGGGCACAAATTACTGCGCTAACGCGGACAGAAGCAGAACTATGTGGAATCTCAATTCCGTCTAGAAATCTAATCGTCTTAGATGCCTTGGGGAAAACACATTCAGTGCCTATGACTCCGGTGACACTATGGTTACCAGGAGAGGAAAACCCTGTCAACACCATGGTGGCCATAGGATCTTTCCAGATGAATCTTTTAGGTATAGATGTTTTAAAGGGCAGGCAGTGGCCGGACACCCAGGGAAACTCATGGTCTTTCGGTGTTCCCCAGATCAGGCAATTGACTGAAAGATCGGGTACAGAGGTGCATTTGTTGCAAGCGGCACCTACCCTGCCACCCTCCAAATTGACAAATGTAAAACCCTACCCATTGCCTCTAGGAGCAAGGGAGGGAATTACATCAGTTCTGGAAGATTTGAAAAAACAAGGGGTTGTAGTTCCCACTCACACCCCCTTCAATTCTCCAGCATGGCCGGTCCGAAAACCAAACGGCAAATGGGGATTAACAATAGGTTATAAGAGGCTTAATGCCAATAGAGGTCCACTAACAGCTGTTGTACCAAACATTGCTGAATTGATAGCAACCATTCAGGAACAATCTCACCCTGTCATGGCAACAATTGATGTCAAAGATATGTTTTTTATGGTCCCTTTACAACCTGAGGACCAGGATCGCTTTGCCTTCACCTTGGGAAGGACAACAGTACACCTTCACACGACTCCCTCAAGGATACAAGCACTTGCCCACGCTAGCCCACCATGCTCTAGCACAAGAGCTGGAAACAATTCCCAGAAAATCAGAAGTGAAGATTTATCAATATATAGATGATGTACTCATAGGAGGGAGTCAGGTAGAAGAAGTTAGAGAAACTCAGCAGGACATTATCACCCATCTAGAAAGTATAGGGTTGACAATTCCACCTGAGAAAATTCAAACCCCTTCAAGTGAGGTAAAGTTTTGGGGAATCTGGTGGAAGGAAGGGATGACGTGTATCCCACCGGATACTCTCTCCTCCCTCGATCAGATCAAAATGCAAGAGTCAAAGAAAGACTTACAGCATGCACTAGGGTTGCTTGTGTTTTGGAGGAAACACATTCCTGATTTTTCAATTATTGCTAGGCCCTTGTATGACTTGCTGAGAAAGAGGGCTCAGTGGGAATGGACTCAGGTCCATGATGAGGCTTTACAGTTGTTAGTGTTTGAAGCGACGGCCTATCAAGCCCTGGGTTCAATTCATCCAACAGATCCAGTTCAAATTGAATGGGGATTTTCCAAGACTGGACTGTCCATCCATTTATGGCAAAAGGGGCCAGAGAGTCCGGTTAGGCCAATTGTTTTTTATTCTCATAGCTTTAAAGATGCTGAAAACAGGTATACAACTTGGGAAAAAGGTCTATTTGTGGTTAGTCTAGCTCTGAGAGAAGCCGAACGCACCATTCGGCAACAGCCTATAGTTCTCAGAGGCCCATTTAAAGTGATCAAAGCAGCTTTGGCAGGAACTCCACCCCCTGACGGGGTGGCCCAGAGAGCCTCCGTGCGAAAATGGTATGCACAAATAGAACACTATTGTGAAATTTTTTCTGTAATGGAAGGAGCCACAAAAGTGTTAAATATACAAGAGGAGGTAGATCCCGATAAGGAAACACCTGAGCTTTTGTCTGTAATACAAGTAGCTCCTCCATTTTCTGGACAATTGCAGAATGTCTGGTTTACAGATGCCTCGTCAAAACAAGAGGGAAAAATTTGGAAATACCGAGCTGTGGCACTCCGGGTAGACACCAAGGAACAGATCATTACCGAAGGAGAAGGTAGCGCACAAGTAGGGGAACTAATTGCTGTGTGGAGCGTTTTCCAACACGAGGTTCAATCTGCTTCTTCTGTCTATATCTACACTGACTCTTATGCTGTGTTCAAAGGTTGCACTGAATGGCTTCCATTCTGGGAACAGAACAGATGGGAGGTCAATAGAATACCTGTATGGCAAAAGGAAAAATGGCAGGATATCCTTACTATTGCCAGGCAGGGGAAATTTGCAGTAGCGTGGGTAGCATCTCACCAACAGGATGAGACCCCAGTGAGTCGGTGGAATGCTGAGGTGGATGAACTAGCCCAGCTGGCACCCCTACAAAGCACCCAGATAGCAGAAAATGGGGAGAAACTATTGGAATGGCTACATATAAAACAGAAACATTCAGGGGTTAAGGACCTCTATTGTGAGGCACAAGCCCGAGGGTGGCCAGTTACTAGGGAAGAATGCAAAACCTGTCTATCTTCCTGTGAACAATGCCACATCCGTCTGGACAGACACCCTCGGAGGGTGACCCCCTGCACTTGAGAGAGGGAAAAGGCCTATGGGAGGCCTGGCAGATTGACTACACTGGTCCCTTTTGAAAGTCAGAAGGAAAGCACTATATATTGGTAGGTGTAGAGATAATATCGGGACTAGTGCAAGCTAAAGCATGTGCTAAGGCAACAGGAGAAAACACAATAAAAGCCCCGAAAGAATGGTTTGGAATTTTCCCCAAACCACAGTCAATCCAATCAGATGACGGCTCACATTTCACAGCCAAAGTGGTCCAAGAGTGGGTAGCCCAGGAGGGAATTTCGTGGGTGTTTCATACTCCATATTACCCACAAGCAAATGGAACAGTGGAAAGAACAAATGGTCTACTAAAACTCTTCCTCAAGCTGCATAATCCAGGATGGGCTGAGCGAGTGGGGGATGCCGTGACCAGCGTCAACAGTCGCTGGGGGATAAATGGATGCCCAAAGATCACAGCATTCTGTCCAAAACCTCCAACAATCATGCCAGCCCCACATGGTCCTGATCACCCCAGCAACCCATCCCATTTTCCAGGACAACCTGTCTTGGTTGAACTTCCCACAGTGGGCAAAGTACCACTGGTGTTGGACACACCCCTCAATAAATACAACTGGAAGGCGAAAGATGCCTGTGGGAAAACCCATAAGATTCACACTAGATGGATTGTTCCCTCTTTCTAACCCAAGAAGCGAATTTGTCTTTTGTTTCACTTTCAGGAAGAAGCAAGTGACACAGACGCACCCACAGGAGCGAAGCAGACAGGGTAATTTGATTAGGATGTATATGTTAATATTTGCTATATTATTTTGTGGATTTACCTATAAGAGTGAAGGGAAGCCAATTCTCCCACCACCACCCCCCAACCCAGATGACCCCTTTAAGGATAATTAATTTGTTTTGTTAACAAAAACTGTAAGTCAAACCTTTAATCTGAGTCACTGTTGGGTTTGTAGAGGACCTCTAGGGTTATCAAGCTGGCCGTGGGTCTCTGCACCCCTTACTCCAGCACTAATCGTAAGCAATTATAGCGAAACTAGCGACACCACCTGGGATGACAGTGAAACATGGCCAATCCTAATTTCCTACTAGGGGTAAATATTGCTTAAACCGCACCCAGAAGGGAGGGGTCGATATGGGAGAAAGCAGGTGTCAATGGACACTCACACATAAATTGGTTAACAAAGACAGAGGTGTTTACATATGGATGTGGCTTGATGAAAACAGACCCAGCAGAGGGTTTAAAGGGTTTTGGTCTGACAAAAATGAAACCTTATTTGCCCACTGGCCTGGAAACTACATTTACCATCAAATTTGTGAGTGGAAGAACTATACTGGTGCCGGTTATTGTACAGGCCGGACAAACAATAGCCCATTTTTTTCAGCCCTTTGGGAAATGAAAACACAATTTACTGCCAATTCCCAAAGGCTGCAGCTGGACCATTTGCTAAAGGTGCCAAGGTCAGAAAAGGCCATAATAGGATTTGTGGTCATACTACCTACAAACAACTACCAGCAAACTGGTCAGGGATTTGTTATATAGGGATTATCCGACCTCTGTTTTTCCTCCTCCCAGAGGTGGGTCGTCCTCAGTTGGGAAGCAGACTATATGATAAGTTAAGGAATACAAGGATTGCCCGCAGCAAGCGATCTGTTGAGTTTAAAAGAGGTGGAACTCAAAAGTGGGGGGAAAATGAACAGCCCCCTGAAAGAATAATTGAGCATTGTGGGCCTGCCACCTGGAATCCCAGTGAACCAATATCAGGGGCAAGGGAACCAATTTATAATTTGAACCACATAATTCAACTACAAGCAGTCTTAGAAATTATTACTAATAAAACTACCAATGCAATAAAAATTTTAACTCAACTATCTCATCAGATGTGCACTGCAATCCTTCAACACCGCATGGTTTTGGATTATTTACTAGCTGAAGAAGGAGGAGTATGCGGAAAATTAAATGTCTGTAATTGTTGTTTGGAAATAAATGATGTAGGTGAAGTAGTCCTTCAACTGACCACAGATATTAGGAAACTATCCCATGTCCCCGTTTAAACATGTAATGGCTGTAATGGTGATTTATGGTCTTGGTTACCTGGAACACCACGTGTAAAACAGCTTTTATTTTATCTGCTATGTGCATTTGCCGCCTTGATGTTTTTACCATGTATTATTCCTTGTTTTGTTCAGTTAATCCAACACGTTGTATCTAACATGCAGTTCATAACCACTGCCTCACCTGATGGTGTAAAGCAGATTCGCGTTGTTCGTCAATCAAAGTCTGTAAAGCAGATTCGCGTTGTTCGTCAATCAAAGTCTGCCTCTCTATCAATTATTTAAACAACACATGCGCTTTGGGCTGGGGGCGTGGACATCCATTTTCCTGCTGCGTAGTCTTCACCATCTTCAGCTCCACCATTGACCAGAATGTATGCGCTTTTGATACTTAATTTTGTGGCGGTTGCATTGTTAGCTCTTGCTATATTTTCCCTTGTGATATGTATGTGTTTGTCCTTTAAGTGCCCATGTAAACCATCTTG